CTGAAAAACTCGGATACAACACCGGATTCCAAAATCTTCAAGGCTTCTTCATGTGTTACACATCTGGCTGTCTTGTACTGACTCACCGAAGATCCTCTCGAGACAAAGAAACTCATCAACTCGTCGAAAGTTCCCTCTTTCACGACTCTAATCTCGAGCGGTCCAATGTTCTTGTCGTTTGTTCTGCATTTCCTGTAAACAGCATCAAGAGACTCCTCAATGACGAAGCAACATTCCTCCATGACATCACGATCGAGCTCGAGAGTTGCGTCTTTGAGTTTTTTCTTGAGTTCCCAGTAAAGAACGTAGTGACCCGGGAACGAACAAATGTTTCCATAGCTTGTGAAATCTATCAGCATAATGTCGTGTTCCTCAAGCAACTGTTTTGCATGTGTCACTGCCTTTAGGAGATCTTCCTCGTAAGTCTTGTCCATATCGATGCCTAACACAAGTTTTTGTCTTCCTACGAATTGAAACTTAGGTGAATTGTTATGGAAACCAGTTGCTTTTAACACGTCCCCCACTCGATACCTGTACAGACCTGTAAAACTTGCACAATCTGTAAGATCCAACATTCAAAAAATATAAAATAGTTGCCAGAAAAAAAAAAAAGAAATGGACTCACCGGTAAATGTTGTGACGACGGGTTCATAATAATGATCTATTTTTACATCCACGAGATCAACCATATCATCATCACCACCACCACCACCTTCCTTTTGGTTTCTATCCACCTCTAGGAACTCAAAGTATGCTGAGTTTGGAATGATGGTGTATGACACATCGCGGGGCTTACACAAAGGATGAAGATTGATACCGAAGCAACATTCCGAGCTACCATAATAGGTTGAAACCAAAGGGAGACGTGCACCATAGAATTCCAACATCGGTACATACTGTTCCATTGAACCAGTAACAATAGCTTCAATGCATTTAGCTCTTGGCCACAACCTCCTAACTATGCCTTCCCACGATATTTTACTGCATTCTCGTTCTATTATTTCAGCAAGTTCCTGATTTGGCCCACCAAAGATATCAGAAGTCGCTTTCTTACATTTGATGTTAGTAATCCACTCGCTAGTGTGACCGGTCCTTATGTTTGAGCATAACTCAGGCCAGTGATCTTCCAAAAACTTGATTACTTTGAGAAAAGTTGATGCAAATGGTGCACCTATCCGGACAACTTCATCTCGTTGCACTATTCCACATAGCAATTGACAGTAAATGCTCTGCTTAGTGTCTTCACATGTTGAGACCTCATATGGGCTTGTCTGAATTCGATTCCTTTCACATGCAAGAGAACAATAAGCAACACTGGACAAGGTGTATGTATAAAAGCATAAGGGTACAATTGTAGTTATGTAAATAATTTCATCGATATATAGAGAAAATACGTTACATATACTATTCATATGATCCATGCGAGCTAATATAACCGTAGAAGATTTGAGCTACATTACCAAAACTACGAATTCTCAGCGTTAATACTTTTCATAAAGCTTGTCAACACCGTTCTAACCATCAAGCCGGAAGCTGTCTCGCTTTCCCGGTTGACGAAACAGAAGCACACAACTTTTCCGGGAGTAAGACCTTCTATGTGCCTGCAAAGTAGCAATGGGAGTAATGGGAGTGTTACTCCTTTAGTGAATAAGCTTTCTTGTTCTCTAAAATTTAAATGACAGAAAAAGGGTGACAGACAATTAATTCTCGAAACCGGACATACTTTCTCATTAGAGGTAGCAAGAGACTTAGAGCCCGACTGGTTGTACCGCAGAGGTTGCAGTTGCGGGTGATAGCGTTTTCAGAGTGTTTGCTAGCGATTGTAGGCGATTGGTACTGAGTAGTTTGTAAATGACTGTTGGTGGGGATTGCGGTTGGTTGCGAGTAAGAGTGAAAGGTTGTACACAGTTGCGGTTGCGTTTTGATATAAATTACCAAAAAGGACATGATTTTAAGATAATTTTTTAAATCAATTACAATTAATTTTATATTATCATTTGATAAAAAAATATTTTATATAATTTATAAATAATTATATAAAATATTTTAAAATATAAATTCTATCAATTTAATTTATATTTAATTAAAAAATAATTTTTGATAAAAATATATAGAATAATGACGCTTTTCCGTATATATTACGACTATATGGGAAGAACATGATAATATATGTAATTACTGTCATACCCTTATAATTTTAACATACCTAGACATGAGTTCAGTGATGGGTTGTGAACAAATGATATCCGAAGGTTCACCATTAGCGATACGTTCGATATAAGGCTTGAAATCTTCGTAGTCAATGACAAGCACATTCTTCTTGAAGCTTTGGATATCGCATTCGCCATTCAGAAATCCTTTGAGATATTCGGTTTGGGCGTTACGTGAAAGTATATTCTCCAATACAGATTCTTGAATTTGCTTGGCGTTTGTGGTGACATCTTCAAGAACAGCAAGACAAGCTTCTTGGTTGGTCGGGTCGAACTTCGGAAACATGATTTTTGGTGTTTGATGTTTTAGATTGCCTGCTAGAATATTACAAGAATCTTACTTACTAACTGCCACATAAAACATTTTTGAAAATGACAATATTTCTTCTTTTTTTAAAAAAGAATGAAGTTATTTGTGGTTTAAATCCACACTAAACAAACCGTGTATATTTTTCTTCCACATAAAAATAACACCTTCGGAAACATGATTTTTGGTGTTTGATGTTTTAGATTGCCTGCTAGAATATTACAAGAATCTTACTTACTAACTGCCACATAAAACATTTTTGAAAATGACAATATTTCTTCTTTTTTTAAAAAAGAATGAAGTTATTTGTGGTTTAAATCCACACTAAACAAACCGTGTATATTTTTCTTCCACATAAAAATAACACTTTTCATATTCATGGATTTAAACCATTGATCTGAGCGATCTTGAATCTTGAATTTTAATTTTTTTTACACAATATTGAATCATTTTAATGGAATCGGCCCTTCTTCTTAGATCGGGTGGACATTTCCGGTATGGAAAACTTAAAGTAACCAAATCAATACTTTATCAAATTTGAAGAAAACAAGATTTAAAATCGGGTTAGATGTAATTTATTTTAATGGAATTAAACAAAAATCAAATGAATATAAAATTAGTCAAAAAATATATGAAAAATTTCTAAATAACGAAAAATAAATATAAAAATAATCAACTTAAATTTCTTTAAAAATAACGGAAAATAATGAAAAATAATAGGAAAACAAAAATTTCTTAAAAAAATAAATATTTTTAATAATTATCAAACTGATTACAAACCAAATAAAAACGGATGTGAAATAGCTCTAATTTTTTTTAAAAAAGGAGAATTAAAATAATGGAGTCTATTTCTGTTGTCAACCCTAATCAAGAAATTCGAGTTAGAACAAAACTATCATTGATGTTTCATTTTCATAAATATGAAAAAAGAGGCAAGATTTTGGTTTTTTTACACTCTTGGAATTATACAAGTTTTCTTCACTTACACTGAAATAACAAATCTTTTGTCTTCAAAGGATCTATAAGATATTAGAGGACTAGTTGTTAGGATTTGATTGTTATTTGGAGTCTATGTTTATCAAGTATATGAATATCTTTCTGTTTTTATATTTTGTTTCCTAATTTATAGCAAGTTTATCTTGCAATATTTGTTATTTAAGGAAGCTAACTAATAAGAAAAACTCTTCCATTGTTCATTTTTTAATATGATATCATAGCACAAATATTCCGTTTGCGTTGTCTCTTGTCATGTTTCGAAACGGAATGAAGTTATAATTAGGGATGTCAATTAAATCCGAAGCCCGAAGCCCGATCCGAGTCCGCCCGAAAAAATTAAGGATACGGACCTAATAATATAGATCCGATAAATAAATTGGTGGGCCAGCTCGGCCCGAAAAAAGTGAGGTCCGAATCGAGTCCGGCCCGATATCGGTCCGACCTGTCCATTTAGTCCGAAACATATTGAATGATTAGATTTTTATTCTCATATAACATAAAAAAATCTTTTATTTATGTTATATATATTTATATATTTGATGGGTTTAATTAATATATATACTAAAATTATATATTATTTTATTTCTAAAATCATATATACATATATATATTATCGACTATTTTGATAAGATTTTGATCTAATTTATATGTATAATGTTTTATACATTTAATTTTAAATTTATATCAATATTTTTGTATATTTTTTATACCGAATATGTATTATATATATTAAAAATATTAGATAAATTAGTATATTTTAAAGTTTATATGGTTATTTTTTAATTTAAAAGTTTTAAATTGTAGTTGATATGGATAAAAAAATTTATCTTTGTTTTAATATATTCTTATCAGATGTAGTGTTAGATAATTGATCAATTAAATTTTTTTTTCAATTTTATTTTTATTTCGTTGAATGTTTATATTATTATTATTATTGTTATTATTATTATTATTATTATTATTCGAGAGCTCGAGAAGAAGAAACTCGACAGGTTCGGTCTCATCCCGGATCCACCTCAAGATCCTGTCATGCAATAACCCTAGAATGTTATGTCTAAAACTATATATGCATATATTTCCATTGGTTATAAAACATTTTATGTTCTTCGATTCTATGATAACGAGAGTATGCATGCATTCTTCGATCCTACGAAAAAGATAGAAAGCATTCTTAAGATCGAAAAAGGAAGAAGAAGAAGAGAGATTCTCGTGCCTTTCGCGGACGTAGGTAGAGTTGGCGAAATAGACCGGAGAACCCAATTGGAGAATCAAGAACCCGGCGTTTTGCTCAGCAGCCGGGTATTGCTCGACGTCCCTATACATCACCGAGTTCGGCATTCTTCCCAGCTTACATGTCCCGGGTCGAGCAACGTACAAGAGCGATCTCACAATCGAAACCGCCACCTAATCAATCAATCAACACATATAGTTACAGAAAAAGATCGCGAAACAATGCTTCAAAAAGAAAGAGTTTCATTCGGGTTTGGAATTGACAAAGAATCACGGTGTATCGTACCGACATGAGGAGGCCGTAGTCCATGCTGATGAACGAAACGCCTAAAAAGGCGGTCATACAGACGAGGAAATCGAATTTATCGACCTTGTAGAGGTGGTACATCTCCTCATAGTCGATAAGACCGAGCATAGCCGACATGATGATGGCCGAGAGGGCGACAAGAGGCGTGTAGCTGAAGATCGGGGCCAAGAACAGAAGAACAAGCATCATGCAGAACCCCATCACAATGTTCGACATCGGGGTTCTTGTCCCCGCGTTGTAGTTCACCGCTGTCTTTGAGAAGGGTCCTATAATTTGTCGAAAAATCAATTTCAAACGTTAAGATCGACGAATATCTTCCGTCTAATTCGATCTCAATTACTAAAGTATGATCATCAAATCAAGATATATATATAATGAGTTAGTTACCTGTTGTCAAGTAGCAAGACGTGAATGAGCCTATAACGTTCATGAGACCAAAGGCAATCATCTCTTTGTTCCCGTCGATTTGCTCGTTCTTCATCAGCCCGAAACTTCTCCCGATCGCGATACCTTCCTGAAATCGTTGAATTCGGTAACGTTTATTGTATATCCATAATCGAATTCCGGACATATTGAGCGAAAGAAGATAAATTCCGCGTCTTACCGCTAAGGCGATGAGGCCAGTGATAAGGCCGGCTTTCACAACGGCTCCTATGTACTTGCTGTCGAAGTTCAGCAAATTGATTGAAGGAGGGTTCAGTCCTCTCTTCAAATGTCCCACCTGTGTCACCAAATATATATATATATATATATATTATAACTATATATACTCCGAAGATGTTACGATGCCTTATTGGTATCAAAAGATTACGTAATATATATATATGTATATATGCAAAGGGTCGATCGATGAGAAATTTATAACTCACAGTTAGGATGCCATGCTTTTCTCCCTTGACGAGGAAAGCAACTAAGCAGCCGACACGAACCACAATTCTCTTATCTCTGCTTCCTCCTCCGAATCTGACCTTGTTCTCTCATAGCGTTTGTCATAATTCCTCGACGTTTTGTGACGGGATTTTCTTCCTTTACTCTCTTCAGCAGAATCTTCTTCTGAATCAGAATAGTGCCTGGATGAAGAATGTTTGCGTTGCTTCGACCCACTACCATGATGCTTTTTCTTGTGCTCCTTCCCATCTCCATCTTTCACCTTTTCCTTTCCTTTTACCTACCAAGAAGACAATCTCTAGCACGTAAATAACTCAACTGAAGGGGAAAACACAGGGGATTTGAGTAGAATTATAATAGTTACCAGAGATACAGGAACAAAGCATAACTGAAGACGAAGAACTTACAGATTTGCGAATCATGGCCATCTTTACAGGGTTGTTCTTGATCCGCGTAAGTGCTTCTTGCTCACGCTGCCTGATAAGAAGTAAAGGGTCGGAGTGGAGTTTGCGCCAGGCATCATTCGCAGAGTGTGACTTATCCTCAAACAACGCACCAGGAGCTGACTGTTGCTGCTGTGCGTTATTGCTAATATTACTGGTATCAGCTTTGGCTGGTTGTTCTTGAGTTTGAAACGAAACACCATGCCCTGAACTACTGGCATTTGGCTTCCCTACCGCAAGCCCTGAATCGTATAGAAACTCCAGTCTTTCCTGCCTCCTGCAAGAAGAAACATATACAGTTTCGTAAATAACTTCGATTTTATACCACCGTATACGTCGCGATATTGGGCAAAAACTAAACCCAAAACCCTAGACAGGCTACAAAGCAAAACCGATCTATTACAACCGGTAAAATTCAAATTCCACCGCTAATTACCATTGATACCTCTCAAATGACATTCTGAAAAACATTCCGAATCGATAAGATTCAAAATTTATTTCTAGCGTTGAATCCTAGCCCTAATCCCCAATTCAAGATAACAAGCGATTCGAATTCGTTCGAACGCAAGACAAGAGAGGATAAACACTTACGGAGCGAGACCGGCCTGTTCCTGGAGAGCGCGAAACTCAGAACGCTCCCTCTCCTGTTGGATCTGGAGGCGGAGCTCCTCGAGCTTCTTCTGCTCGGCTTCGTTCTTTTGCTCGGCCTTCCATACGTTCTCTATGTTACGGAGACTCCCCGTATGCCATCCCTTCTTGTTCAGAAACTTCAACGCCATTGTTTCTTCTTCTTCGTCTTCTTCCTGTTAATGGATCCTGAAGCGTTGCAATGTCTCCTCTTCTCCTATATAACTCGGTGGATCGTGTTTTTGCCAGCCGCCAAAGGGAAGGGAAACGAAATCAGAGCCGCTCGTTTCAAGACGGGACGATGAATTAAGATCTTGACACGTGGAGCATTAGTTTAGCCAATCCAGCCCATAAATGTGTCAGTGGGCCCGACCTTTAGGCCCAACGAGGAGCTCAACTTGTAAAATTAGTTTACATGAGGGACTTTTCTGTTAATATATAATTCAACAGTGGCATTTTGCAAAACTGAAAAATCTTGAGGGTTGTCTGTATTTTCGATCTGCTTCAATTTCATGAATAGGCGGAGAAGAAAGAAATTATAAGAAGCAGAGTTGAAGGTACTAGGATGAATTTCTTCTCCTTTTTTTATTTAATAAAAAAACCCGAAGTCCGACCCGAATCCACCCGAAGCCCTATAGGGCCAGGCTCCGGGTCATCGATGATAGACCCGAAAAATAAATGGGTGGCCGGCCCAACCCCAATAAATCTAGGTCCGAATTGAATCCGATCCGAACCCGGTCCGGCCCACCCATTTTACATCCCTAGTTATAATTTGTTATTTTGATTAAAAAATTAATTACTTGAATTTAAAAGAATATTAAAAGCCATTAAAGTACATACCTTGGGCTTGGAGACTGGTGAAATCGATGAAACCTTGATTTCTCTTTGCTTGGGATCCCCTAAATCTCACACTATGCTCTCTGGTCTTTCGAAGAGCGACACGGAGAGAATGAGGACAACAAGTGTTGTGAAATGATGTGTAGTGGGACTAATGTTAATATAGTGCCGTTGCTTTTTAATGCATTAATAACAAAATATTTTATAGAGTAAATCGCATATAAATATCTAACTTTTATAAAAATCTCAGATAAATACTTAAATTATAAAATTTTCATATAAATACTTGAACTTTTCTAAAATCCTATATAAATACCTAAATTTTTGAAAAACTCCCAAATAAATCCAAAATTCGTTAATAACATCACCTATTTTTATTTGAAAAATATCTGAAATTTGTATTTATTTAAGAAATTTTTTAAAAATCTAGGTATTTATATAGAATTTTTAAAAGTTTAGGTATTTATATAAAAGTTTTATAGTTCAGGTATGTATATGAGATTTTCATAAAAGTTTAAGTATTTATATGTTATTTTTTTTATTTTATATTTAATGGACAATAATTTCTCACACTTAGTTAGCAAAAAAAATTAATTTCTCACACATTAAAAAGAAAGGATTTTTATTTTGGAATGGCCATTAAGTTCCGAAGCAGAATGGAGAGAATATTGAATGACTGATTGATGCATCTTTATTATATTCAATCACCCACTCGTGAAGACAAAGAAAGAAGAAATTCTTGTGGGTAATCATGTCAAAGGCGACACATCCCTGTCCTGTCCTGTCCTGTCATGTGTCGTCGGATTTATATTACTTATATAAAATATTTACAAAAAACTCTAAAAAGAGAAACATATGATACAAAAACGGTCAATTTCTATCAAATTAATCCTAATTAACAGGGAGTTTATAAACCGGAGTTGTAGAATGAAATTTGTAACTCTAGCGAGCGTATTTGAATTGCCGCACTTTTGTTACGAATAATCCTATTAAGATCATGAAATAGTCTTGCCTTTGAGGAGTAAGTCTATCGATGAATACGCACATTTCGTTCTCTCCAAATGGTGTAAATACAAACTTGTCATACAAACAGGGTTAAGGAATGAAGATGTTTACGTTGCCATGGAACAGTGAGTCACTCGTGTTACAAGAGCAAAATCTGCTCATTAGCTATAACAAGATTATTTTCTTTCCTAAACTATAGTTACTGAACTTGGATATATATTTCTCTTTGTATCATTACGTAAATCATTGTCAATACAGAAATATTATTTTACCTTTATGGTATGAGAGCCTGGTTGTCGAATTTGCATTATGCAGTCTCGTGGATCGATTTGTGCTGGAGCCATTTCCGAGAGATAAACCGGAGTAGATTGGTTGGCGAATTCGACGTCGACACCGAGAAGCAATCTGCCGATGATGAGCATTGCGACGTTCATGGCGAAAGCGTTGATGAGTGCACCAGCGAGAAAGGCAAGGCCTCCGACGAACATGGACATCTTACGACCCTTTGATCTGGTGATCATGGCCGCAAAGAACGAAGCAGCGAGAGCCGCGAGGTTAAGGGAAGATGTGAACAACGCAGGAGCTGGTTGATTCGCGTGTCGCGGACCTCGATTGTCCGCTGGTTGCGGACGAGAATTGTGTCTCCATGGCTGTCGTGGCTTGTAGCTTGCGACATTGGTTGTGATAGGGACGTCCGACAGCATGGTGTGCCAAGCAAGAGTGTCGAATTCATGGTTGATAAGTTTTTCATGAAGCTCCACGAAAGAGATGGTTGTGTCCTTTGCTTAGACAACGTCTTTGACCTGTTTGTATTCGTCTCCAAGACCGGCCAGCACCATGTCGATGAGATCTTCATGATCCATCGGTTTTCCAAGAAGTTCAAGCTCATTGGCTTTCACCTTGAAAAAGTTCATGTATTCATCGTTTTCGCCCTTTTAGTGAATCGACGAATTTGTTCCTTCACTTGTTTCACATGACCACGACTTGAACAACCATATGTCACAGCAAGGATGTTCCATGCATGGTCGACTGTTGGGGACGACGCAACAATGGCTTGACACGAGGTCGAGAGTGAGCCAAGAATTGCAGCAAAGATGAGGCGGTCCTGCCGGAACCATGGAGCATAGGCGGGATAGGCCGTGACGACACTGTTTGTTGCGACCGTGGCCGAGGGTGCAGTGTCGGCTTCAAGGAACTAGTCAAAGTTGTAACCTTGGAGTAATGCTTTGATTTGAATGCTCCACGTGATGTAATTGGTTCCCTAAGTTTGGAAACATTAGACACATTGATCGATGTGTTGGTGGGATTTTCTGGATTGAACGGAGTGACATTATCACTCGGAAGACCAGTAGCGGTGGCTCCATTGGTGGAGTGCTTCCGTCGGTGGCCATGGAGGAGAACTGGCAGTGCCGGTGAGGAGAGCTAAGGTTGGGAAGTGTGAAAGAGTCTTTGGACTATTAATAAAAGGCATAAGCTCCCATTTTTTGAGTCTACCATTGTCTCTTCCAAACCTCTCAAAATATTATTCTCCGATGTGTGGTCTTTGCCAATTGAATCATTTGATGGTTACAAATATTATGTCATTTTTGTAGATCATTACACTCGATACATTTGGCTCTACCCGTTAAAACGAAAGTCCATGGTTTTCGACATCTTTATTCATTTTAAAGCCATTGTCGAAACTCGTTTTCATACCAAAATCATCTCATTTTACTCCGACAATGGCGAAGAATATCTTGCACTAAAGCCTTTTCTTTCGAGTCATGGTATTTCTCATTATACCACACCTCCTCATACACCGGAGCACAATGGGATTTCCGAAAGAAAACACCGTCATATTGTGGAAACCGGCCTTGCCTTGTTAACCCATGCGTCAATCCCTCGTGAGTATTGGTCTTTTGCTTTTCCGACCGCGGTTTATCTTATAAACCATTTAGCAAGTTCGGTTCTTGGTGGACATTCCCCTTTTGAATCCTTATTCGCCCAACTACCCAATTACACAAAATTACGATCCTTTGGGTGTTTGTGTTATCCTTGGCTTCGACCATACTCTCGACACAAAACCCTCGATCGATCCACTCCATGTGTATTTGTCGGGTACTCACTTTCTCAAAGTGCCTACCTTTGCCTCCATGTTCCAACATCTCGTGTCTACGTCTCTAATGCATGTCGCCTTTTTCTTCTTTAGAGTCGGCCACTTCATCTTCAAACGAGACAACATCTTCCACCAGGAACATCTCAACCATTGTTCTACTTCGGCAATTATACACACCACCTGCTCTGATTGTGCCCCAATGTTCGATTCCTTCATCAACGCCATCGTCGCCCACCACCTCTTCACCAAACCAACAACCGCCATCACCACCTTTACATTTCTCAACAGCCACTTCTCCCTCACACGAACGGACCTTAACCCCGAGTTGGAAACAATGTAACCCATTGAACCTCCTCCGATCACGACAAACCGAAACAATCATCCGATGACCACTCGTTCCAAAAACAATATAACCAAACCAACCACAAAACTAAGCCTAACCACCTCCATTTAACCAAACACCGACATAGAACAGAAGTGTGCTAGTCAAGCCCTAAAGGATCCAAAGTGGAGAAAAGCCATGCACGATGAGTTCAATGCATTACTCCGGAATGGGACGTGGACTCTTGTACCGCCGGATCCTACCTACAATGTTGTAGGTTGCAAATTGGTATTTCGTACTAAGCGTCTTTCTGATGGTTCTGTTGACAGGTACAAAGCTCGGCTCGTCGCAAAGGAGTTTCATCAAAGATCCAGAGTCGTGGTCTTCGAAGAAACAACGGTTCACAGCAAAGTCATCCACTGAGGCGGAGTTCAAATCTATCTCGTCAACGGCATCAGAGGTTCAATGGCTTGTGTCACTTCTATCGGAACTTGGTATTACTCTCGACTCAGCCCCGGTAATCTATTGTGACAATGTTGGTGCCACATATCTTTCCGCCAATCCGGTGTTTCACTCTCGCATGAAGCACGTGGCAATTGACTACCACTACATTAGAGGTCTCGTACAAAACCACAAGCTTTGTGTCTCTCACATCTCGTCTGGTGATCAGCTAGCGGACAATCTCACAAAGCTGCTCCATGCCTCAAGTTCGACTCTCTCCGTTTCAAGATTGGGCTCTCACCCGTACCCATCTTGCGGGGGCATGTTACAGGAGCAAAATCTGCTCATCAGCTTCCACAAGATTATTTTCTTTCCTAAACTATTACGTAATGATATTTTTAGTTATAACAAGATTATTTTCTTTCCTAATAATCTTGTTATAACTAAAAATATCATTAGTTATAACAAGATTACTTTTGGGGATATATTCCCCTTTGTATCATTACG